ACAGGACACATCAGAACGGCTGATATACGATATACATAGTATGGAATCTCTAAACAGTCTAAAACATAGATCATTATTGGCGAATCTTACACGTCTATTATTCTCCTAAATTCTAACTTTACTCTTTTTCTTTTTTTGTACTGGTTTGTTTGTTTGTTTGTTTCTCCAAGTGTACTGGAATTCACATTCACGTTTAAAGCACTGCAATGGGCTGGTTGTTCGTGATTTTTATTAAAGCTTTTATATATATAAGGTGTGCATAAAGATTACAGAGAAAACCACCGATATTCTATCATTCACAGCTACTCCCAGGAACTTAGTTTGGTTTATACTTACTTAACTTTTGGGTATTTTTCCTTTCTGAAAAAATTAACTCTCTCTCTCTTTTCTTTTTCCATTTTTGTTGGAAGGGAAGAAATTGTTGGGGAAGTTATCCCTAAACCTTCCTCTCCTTGTCTACTGCCCTGGCTACTTCCTTAAATTGCTCGTATCATCTATTTTCAAATCTGAAATAACTGTCTGAAAAGATATAAGTATTTCAAGAAAGATGGTAGTAGAAATATCATATAGATTGATATTGTGTACTATAACCTGAAGGTAGGGGACATTTCCTCAAACAATAGTTAAATGTGGAGTATAAATGGCATATATAATATGTGTCTCAAGTGAAACATCAATATAGAATATAAAGCACAAATAGTAGGTTTCACATGCTTAGAATATCGATGTGAAGTATATCTTGTTTTACTTAGAATGTCAATACGGAATAAAAATTCAAAACGGAAAGGTTTCCTCACTTTAAAAATTACTGATTTCTTTATTAATTACATTTCTTCAGAGAATTGTGAGAAAATGGCTTAGCTCCGTTTTTTTAAGTTAGGAAACTGGAAGTACCATTGGTTAAGAAATGTAACAGTCTAACAGTTTTTCACACCCATGAGATCGCTGAATTTTAGTAAATCGCTCCACTGAAGCTAGAAATATTTGAAGAGTTGGCGGTGTACATTCTATTTGAATTATCCTCATATCTTAAAAAATAGTCATGTTTTATGAATAAAAGATTTCTATATCTAGAAGGAATGTTTTTTTCATATTTATTTTTCAGTGTTTTGATTTTACATCTTCATCAAGAATTGCAATGTAAAACTGAAATGTTAAAAAGTAAATAAAACAATGACTAAGACTTAATATTATCTGCAAATTTAAGTAATTTATTGACAATTCCTTCATCTATGTCATTGATGTAAATCAAAACAGATATATAGATACAAAACAGATACCAACAGATATAACTTTTTTACAAGCCTTTTATGTGGCACCTTGTCAAAGGCTTTCTGAAAATCCAGATACACCATATCTACACCTTTACCCTCATCTTCATAAGCAGAACCTTTTTAAAGAATGTTAAAAGACTTGTAGGGCAAGATTTTCCCTTAGTGAAACCATGTTGACTATCCAATAACATCCTACACTTTGCTAAGTATCTTTTATCAAACATTTCAAAACTTTCCACATAACTGATGTAAAACTAATAGATCTATAATTACTGGAACACTTTTTATTACCTCCCTTGAAAAGAGGAGTAGCATTGGCTAACTTCCAAGTGGCTCACATATCCAATCCTTAACCCCCTTCAAAACCCCTGGGGAAATATTATCTGGCCCAGGAGCCTTATCGTTCTTTAAACTTCCCAATTTTTTCTTAACCAGCTCAGAATTAATGCAGTCATCTAGTTCGATCTTGTTTCCATCTATCAACTGTTCAAGATGTGGAATACTGCTTAAATCTTCATTAGTAAAAACTGAATAAAAAGCAGAATTTAATAACTCAGCAATCTCATAATAATCAGATACAAGATTTCTTTTATCATTCCTCAAGGGCCACCATAATATCTTATTTACCCTTAATATTTGTATAGAAATCCTTATTGTTATTTTTACATTTCCAGCCAAACTTTTTTGATACATCTTTTTTTATCTTCTAAATCTCCTGTCATACCAGTCAATCTAAATAGCTTACATTTATGAAGCTTTTCTTTAATTTTATCTCTTATATCTTTTATGAGCCAACTTGTTTTTTACTTATGGTCACCCTTTTCTTTCTATACCGAATATGTTTATCTTGAATATTTAAAAATTTAAATTTTCCCAGTTTGATCAGCATCTCCAAATACCTCAGCTGCTTAATTTATAAGAGATAATTTTTATCATTTCCCTTCAAAATTTGCTTTTTTGATATTTGTAACCAAAATATTATTATTTCTGATCCCTATAAATTGCCAAAAAAATTAAAATTTTAATGGAGTGTATGGTTCGTTGGATATGTATTGAATTGTTAAAAGAAATATCCGAAACAAAATAAATGCTGCAGTAAGAAGTAAATAAACAAATAAAGTGATACTAGTTGGCTAGATTTTAAAATGATTTTCAATCCTTACTTTGGTTGGCATTGTGATCCCTATAACTAAATGAAGTAGTCTAAATTTACCAATCAATGTGTTATGGCGGCTTATCAACGTGCCCTTAACAACGCTTTCTCTGGTTGCACTTCGTGGAACTATGACGTCATCTTCTCTATCCCTTACTTATTGCCTGAGATGGACAGACGTGTCGTCCTATGGTGGCATGCCATGTAACAGCCGCCCTATCTACTGACCTGTTCCAGAATATATTCACAAAAGAGTGAAAGTACTACTGCAAGATATTTTTTGTTTTGATGGTATGAAGTACATTCATATTTAGAATATTTTCAAAGCAGTGATGCCGCATATTACTTTCCTGCTGCCAATCCCCCCCCCCCACCACACACACCTCTTGACCAGCTTTCACTTGAACAGTAAATACAGTTGGAAAATCTTTGAATGAAGATGATAGGTTTATTTGTTTGTAGTTAAGCACAAAGTTACACAATGGGCTATATGTGCTGTGCCCATCATGAGTATCGAAACCCGGTTTCTAGCTTTGTAAGTCTGCAGACATATCGCTGTGCCATTGGTGGGCTGACAGGTTTGTTTCACGTGTAAGGCTAGCATCCCTTGTAGATGGTATGAGAGCTTGGAAACACCTCTGTATGAATGTAATTAGTCCTAATAGTGAAGACTGTTTGGACATACACCTTGTAACATTTCTTGCAGAAGTATATAGTTCAAATATAGAATACCTGAGCCATGAATTACATCAGGCTAAATTGATCTTGAAGCGTAATTTATTAGAACCATACAAAGAGGTTTCATGAACTCTTTCGTTTGTGTGGAATTGTAGTCATAATACCTACTAATAGTACCGCTTCTAGTGCAGATTCTCTACACAGAGGACTGTAAACAAAGAACAAATCCTTACGTTGCGCAATAGCAGAAACCGATCCAATAATACTGCAGTCCTGATCATTGATTCAGAGTGCGCAAAATCCCTTAACATGAGCAACTTTGTACATATGTTTACAAGTAATCGTAAAACAGAGAGATCCTGTTGGTGTAATTAAGAAATCCCCACAAGCCTCTATTGCATCACTGTCAGGATATTTTATAAGAAGAGACAGTTTATGAAATTTGCTTCATATTTGACAATTTATAAGCACTGCCGGCTGAATTTTCAGTGACCTTGGCAAATATGGTTACCATATTGAGTTCATATGAAAGTAACACTGTGAAGGGCTCTAAGTCTTATTTCGATAGAAATAAGCAAGCTCCCTTCTAAGGTTGTTAGATTAAACAGCCACGATGTCTTTTATTTGTTCGTTTAAAGTGTTTTGTGAAGTCATGTTGCAACAACAACAAAAGAACTATAGCTGACAGCAGTGGTCGGATTCATATATTTTAAAAACA